AGACATTCTTCGTGTGGTATTCGTGGTATGCAATAGTGATCGGCGCTCTCCGGGCCTCAAGTAGTCTACATAACAAACTGTTGACAAACATAATTCACGCTCCGATGCACTTCTTCGACACCACACCCATGGGTCGGGTTATCAATAGGTTTAGTAAAGATATCGATATATTGGACCTAACCATGCAAATGACTATTAGGTTTGTTTATAACTTACAATATAATTATTTGTAACAACTATTTTTTGCTAACAATAACTTTGTAATTTTTACATTTAATATAAACATGATGATTAGCTTAACATGTGTTTTTATTACAGAGTGTTGGGCAGTACGGCTATACAGGCAGTGGCTATATTGGTGACCATTTCCATTCAAACCCCTTTATTCATAGCAGTATTTGTGCCGGTAATGGGTGTATATATTTTTATACAAAGATTTTACGTCACATCCTCTCGACAATTGAAACGGTACTGACATTTGAATTAAAAATATCAATATTAAAATTATATAAACAATTACTTTTTAATTTCTAGACTAGAGTCAGTCTCTCGGTCTCCGATTTACTCTCATTTCAGTGAATCACTGAACGGAGTGACGACTATCAGAGCGTACGGCGCGAACGACCGCTTCATTAATGTGTCCGACCAGAGGGTAGACAACAATCAAATGTGTTTCTATCCCAACGCTATGTCCAACTGTTGGCTGTCTATAAGACTCGAGTTTTTGGCAAATTTAATCATATTTTTTGCCGCATTTTTGGCCGTACTTTCTAAGGATACTCTAAATGGCGCACAGATAGGACTGTCCATATCGTATGCATTAAATATGCCCGGAGTATTGAATTGGGGGGTCCGGATGTTTGCGGAGATGGAGAACAATGTGGTGGCCGTCGAGAGAATTGACGAGTACTCGCAGATCGAGTCGGAGGCCGATTGGCATTCAAATAGCCCGCCGGCAGATGAGTGGCCACAAGAGGGTAGAGTAGAGTTCGTTGAATACGGCACCCGATATAGAGAGGGATTGGATTTGGTATTAAAGGGAATCGATGTTAACGTAAGAAAGGGAGAGAAAGTGGGAATAGTTGGCCGAACCGGTGCCGGAAAATCATCACTAACTCTGGCGCTATTCAGACTAATAGAGTCAGCATTTGGTAGGATAGAGATCGATGGCATAGATATCAGTAAAATAGGACTTCAGGTATGATTTGCATTATATTTCAATTTTATTATTAAAATATCAGCTCTAAATTATAAATAATTTTGTTATTAATAAAATATTATTAATAAATTATTAATTACAGGAATTACGTTCAAAGCTAACGATTATACCACAAGACCCGGTGTTGTTCGCCGGAACTATTCGTACAAATTTGGATCCGTTTAACAAATACACGGATGAGAGGGTGTGGACAGCCTTAGAGCACTCACATCTACTCGAGTTTGTGAAGAGCACTGACGCCGGCATTCATTATAAAGTTTCCGAAGGCGGCGAGAATTTAAGGTAAATTTGCATATAATTTTAGGTTTATAAACAATTAACTAATTGTTTGATGTATTTGTGCTGAAGTGTGGGTCAGAGGCAACTGATGTGTTTGGCCAGAGCTCTGCTGCGGAACACAAATATCCTGATCTTAGACGAGGCGACGGCTGCCGTAGACCTCGAGACGGATGCTNACGGATGCTCTGATCCAGACTACGATCCGCAATGAGTTCACTCGCTGTACAATCCTTACGATTGCCCACCGGTTGCACACTATTATGGACTCGGATAGGGTTCTGGTGCTCGACTTCGGACGGGTGGCCGAGTTTGACGCCCCGCAGACTCTCCTACAGAACGACCGCTCGATCTTTCACTCACTCGCCAAAGACGCCGGACTCGCATAACACCACACATACAGTACAAACACTCACCGTATTCTTCAAATCAGTATTTAAATCATAAAATTGTTAATTAATTTAATATAAATTACTTTCATATATCATAAATATACATATAATTTAATGTAAATGTATTATTAGTAATAATTTATTACAGATGAAATTATCTTTTACATATTAAACCATCTATTACTTATATTAAATTAATTCTATGTTTTTCATTGTCCTGTACTTAATGCATAACATGGTACATTATATCACAAAAATACTTGTTGATAAAAATTATTGTACTTTATAAATAAAATAAGATATCACACTATAAAGATTTATTTTATGTAATTAAATAACACATACTTTTTATTAATATCTGTGCGGGCAGTAGGGTATGACTTTATCATCATTAATTGGGTAATTTATTTATTTATTACATGTATATTTAATAACTATTTAATAATTAGTACAATTACAGTGTAAAGTTGTAAATGGATGGCATCGTTCAAAAATCACAACAACAATTGCGGTTTTAAGCGTAGAAAAGTGGTATAATCATGGTGACAATTATATACGGTATACTACAAGCAAACGCACTTATTAGTCCCCCGGTACCCAATGTCATAAACAAAATACTCTGAACTGATAATTAAAATGCACTATCAACAAATGTCAGTATAAAATAGTTTTAACCTTTTTTAATTAAAAACCTAAAGTGTACTTGTTTTTATGCAATTTTTATTTGTTGAAATACATACTTTGCACTTGTCAGCATTATGGTAAAGTGCATAGTAAATGTTGATGTTAATTTTAAATGGATGGTAGAATTTAAATTGAATTGTGCTATCCAAGGTGTTATAAAATTTACTGCTCATTTTCATAGAAAATTATATTTAATTTACTTATAATAGTTATTTATACTGTATATCAACATTATTTGATGTAGAATTTGGGTTTTCTTTGCGTTTTTAATTAAATACCACGTTCTTTAAAATTTAACAAATAGCTATTTTATTGTTATTATTTGTACTAAAAGCACAAACCGGTAACCGTTAAGGACATTAGTACTGCACATTTTCCTATTATTTTCAAGCAAAATAAATTAATATAAAAGTAAAGTGTATGTTTACAAATACAATTATTTTATGCGACAAAATGTTGCCATAGGTTACGATTCTCTCTCTCTCTCTCTCTCTCTCTCCTCTCT